TCTTCCCACTTCAATTTAGCAAAGTAAGAGACTTAGACGTGGGGAGAAAATGACATGAGAGAGTTCTTAGTGATTATAATATATTGGATATGGCTAAACATATATACAAGGCAATATACATTTGGCATAACAACATTCAGAGCAATGACATAGAAGCAAATGACCACCAGACTTACTGCTGAGTGACAAAGGTCTGTTCTGTCTCTGTTGCATTTATACCCAGAACAACCAATCACATTTCATCATTACAGCTGGTTTTGCTTAACAATCAAGCATTGCATCATCTTGTTACACCTGTATGCTGTAAGTCATTACATTGGCATTTACTCTACATTCCTGACTCTGCACTTCCATTGCAATATTAAAATTTAACTCCCTGTTCACCAAAAGAACAAAATCCTGACATGGTCATATGTCGGGGTGTTCGTAAGTCGAGGCACCACTGCATCCCTTTTTCAACAAAAGCCTTATTCTGTTTAATTCCTTTGTGATCCTTAATGGTTGCTGTTGTAGATTTGATTTGTCCCTTCCCCCCCCCCCATCTCGTGTCCTTCCCAAAAGGGATTGATCGGCTATGTTGGGAAGAAAACATGATACCGAACTCAAAGGGTCTTAATCTGATTTAGCGTCTTAATATTCTTGATGGTTTCTGTGTTTAGTGTTGGTGCTTAAGGAGAGAATCTGGGAGGGGGAGGGTGGGTGTCAAACCTTTGGGAAGGGCAGCAGAAGTTACCTGGAGGATATTGAGCGGAGAAAAAGTTACTTCCTGGCTGTGAGGTTCTGAGATTTGCAGTTGAATGAAAGCCAGTTTCCCAAGCGGAGCAGATTTTCTTAGCTTTTGCGCTCCTCTCCTGTTCCAGGCAGAAGATGATCAAGTGGTGGGCTCAGTCCTTTTTACCTGGAGTGTCGCGGATTGTTGCAGGATACCGGGGGCCAGACGGCTCTGTGGTCGGGCTGGAAACCTTTGAGACTATGAAGATATTCCAGCTCATCAAGGTGAGTGTAATTCAACTAAGTTCGCCATCCAAAGAGAGTCCCATTATTTCAGTCCCCTGGACTCCTTGCTAGCCGAAGGAGACTCCTCCGAGACTCCATGATGGTCTCGCTGGTGATAAGCGAAGATTTTTGTCAATTCTCCCAGGAAATGATGTAGTTGCTAAAGGCTGCCGGATGATCAGGAGCCAGCCAGGGTGATCAGAAGGCACCTGGTGGGCCTTCTGAACCTTCTAAGGAGATTTTCAGGGTCCCCTCCAGGCCTCAAGGGTCTTCACTGGCCCCCAGGACCGGTTTTTGTGTTGCAGATTTTTCCACCCCCGCTGTGGAAGGTCTCCTGGAGCAGCAGTTTTTGTTTTCAGCGGGTCCAAAACCAAAGCTGGAGGTGGCTCTCGGGGTACTCTGATGTTTGCTCTTTTTTTAAATTTTCCATTTCTGGGCCTGGCAAGGCACGGAGTGGGTGTAAGGGGGAACCAGTCTGGCACCCAGGGCCACAAAGGTTCCCCAAAGTAGTGGTGGATCAAGCCTCCTCCAGCGGATCCCCCTTGCATTTTCCCCTTCTCACTTCTGGGCTCATCTAAGAAGACAACTTTTTCATCAGAGGAGACCACTGCCCTTAATTGCCTGGAATTTGTGCATGCAGGAAAGAGAAGGAATCTCACTGGTCTGTGCCTGTACATATGCAGACAGGCACCAGCCTGGAGTATATTATTCCTAAATCTCCTATGGTCTGAAACGCACCCCCTGCTTTCTCCTCCATGACAGGAAGATCCCGGCTGCTGGAAACCTGCTGTGTGCATGAATTTTTGTGCCGCATTTTTGGCTTTTGTCAAGAAAGTAGTGACAGAGGACAATCCAAAGTAAGTGGTTGTGATACAGTCTCTTCACTCATTCATTCTTTTTTCTGTCTATCCTATCTTTAAATTTAAACTACAGTGGTGCCTCGCTTAACGAGCACACCTTTTAACGACGAATCCGCATAGCGACTTGTTTTTTGGGGTCGCTAATGTGATCGCATTGCGATGTTTAAATAGGCTAAACATCGCATTGCGATCATTTCTGCACCCAGTGGCCATTTTGGAAACAGCTGATCGGCGGTTCCAAAATGGCCACCGGGTGCAGAAAATGGCCGCCTGCACCATTTTCGTGCCCTGCCCTCGTTTACCGGGGATTTTCGCGCCCTGCCCTCGCTTACCAGGGAGCGAAAATGGCAGCCAGATCCAGGATTCTTCACTTACCCGTGAGTTTTTCCCTAATAGGAACGCATTAAAAGGAGTTTAATGCGTTCCTATGGGTTTTCCCTGACCGGATAGCGAAGAATCCGGATAGCGATGTTAATCCTGGAACAGATCTGCACCCCAACCCCCCCCCGGGCACCACAACCCAGAAAAGGAAAGTGGAAATGTGATTTGCCCAACCCGGGGGATACATAGCAGGATCTCCACTAGGTGAGGGTAGGGAAATGGCGGAGAGACGGTGGGCTCGCCACTTTGTCAGCTTCACCTACTTCACAGGGCTGTTTGAGAGGATGACGTGGAGAGGAGAGCTCCCTTCAGCTCTTTGGGGGGGGCAAGATATATAAATCTCACTAATGAATCTTGTATAAGCTACTGACAGCCACTCTAATGAACGTGTGTGCAAGGATGATAGTACAGTACACTTACCCATCTGCTGGATCAGCCTCCGCGAAATCACTTATCTGCTGTTTGAAAATATTAAATTAAAAAACACAAATGCATATTTATATGCATTTCCATGGTGTAGTTACCAGAACCAGCCACTAGAGGGTGCCAGAGACAACACTATGTATAGTGTTGGCGACTTTTGCGTTTTACAGTATCCACGGCTGCCGGGGGGGGCGGGGAGGGAGAAGAGGCTTGGACCCAATCCCCTGCGGGTACCGACGTCCTCCTGTATCTCCCTTTCACCGATCCTTCTGAAAGTTAACACTTAATCTGCTTCCCCTTCCCTTCAGGTTGGTTCACCTCTTTGCCTGGGAACCAGGCCATCCCATTTCCTACACAGTACATCGGGACTCCGACTACATTTTCCTGCCTGACTGGTACATGGAGGCCATGAGCACCGAGAAGCCCCCGACGCCACGGATCCCGGACTGATGACCTCACCTTGAGGGACAAGCTGGTTTTGTACAGTACCTAGACGCCGGCCGGCCGGGGAACCCAGATCCGGTGAGCGGGCACCCAGAGGAAGAAAACAAAACAAAAAACAAAAACGCATGAAGGGTCTGTTGGTTGGGAAGCCGGGAGAGACGGGCGTCCTGCGCCTTTGCTCTCAGCGGAGGCGGAACGAGGTAATAAACTATGCTGTGAACACAGTGTCTCCCTTGTTGTGCTGACGGAGGGGGTTCTTTTTCTCATGAATGACTTTTTGAAGAACTGTATGTGTGAGAGTGAGAGAGAGAGAGAGACATCCTCTAGCAAGGTGTGAGTGAGAGAGAGAGAGAGAGAGACATCCTCTAGCAGGTATCCTTTAGGAGTTGGAGGGGGTCTCTGAGAAAGAACAGACGTTTCAGAGATCCTGGGCTGGTGCCTGAGGCGTCGTCTCCCCAAAGGCCTCCGAGAAGCCATGAGAGCGATAAGACGTCAAGCGAGCCCCGGAGATGGGCCTGACATTCGCCATCCCAAAGGAGGTGGGTTACGGGGCATCAGCCAAAGCTGCCTTTGCCCAAGGCCCTCAGCCACAGGGCCAAGGAATGGGTTCGCCTCCAGCTCACATCCGTCCTGGCCAGCATTGTCAGCGGTGAAGGATGATGGGAGTTGTGGTCAAAAAACATCTCCCCCGAGGCAGAGCTGAGGCAGTCATCTCGGGCAGAAAAGGCTTAAGGAAATTCTAACAGGAATAGCTACACCAATTATGTTACGGGTGTGTGGCAGCCCCCCCCTCCCCGGGTCGCCTGTGTGCCCAAGGAAAGGAAGGGGCTTGAGAGATCTGCCCTTTTAGAGACACCCCTGGCATTCAAAAGAAAATTGGACCACCATCACTCAGATCTGCTTTGATTTGGGATTCCTGCGTAGAGCAGGGTGGGGGTGGGTGGGATTGGACTCAATGGCCTTCTACTCCCTTCTTCCAATTCCATGATTCAATGACCCTCCTTCGGATCCGTGATGATGTTTATGTGCTGCTGGTTCTCTGTGTAAAGGCCCCGTCTCTGCAGATGGGGAATGATACGGCCAGCATATAGGCTGCCACTGGTTCCAACTCCATAGTTCGGTTTGCAGAGCGGGAGGCTCTGTGTTTCTCTCCGGCCACCATGAGAAAGTTTTTGGTGGTTTCCCAAAGGAAAAGGGGGGCTTCAGAAGGACCTCTGTGGCCAACACCCTTTGCTGTGTGAGAGGCAAGACAAGGTCATTCCATACCTTCTTGTTGGCAAGAAGGGCGTTTTTTATTCTTTCTGTCCACGAGACTCATGACAACCTCTCAGAGGTCAAGGACTACACACATACACACACACACACACACACACACACACATCCAGGGAGGTGGGATGAGTCCAAGCAAACCCTGCCCCCTTCACTGGGTGTAGAGGCTGGCGGCAAAGACGATGTCCCTCTTGATCATGTTCGAGGCAGCCTCCATCTTGGCATGGAGGGTCGGCTCCCCGGTGACCCGGGCAGCGTTACGCATCTCCCGACAGGTCTCATCCAGGCGTTGGATGCAACGGACGATGATCCCTTCCTGGACGTCCGTCAGGCGAGCGATCTCTGCAAACGGCTTGGGAGGGAAGAGAGAGACCGTAGGGGTGGTTAGTGGACGGGTGGGTTTTGGGCCACCTCCAGGAAGTCTGCAGAGAGGACACGATTAAAGGGCTTGGTTGAAATGGGGTGAGGGTAGAATCACCTACAAGAGGGCACCGCTAAAGCCCTTGGGCAAGCAAATCCCAAATATGTTTGCCTCCCACAGCTGGCTGCTCTTTGGCTTCACCCCGTTTCACAACCAGGTTGCAGATAGAGCCTCCGAGGGAAGAAAACATCTGTGCTATTGCTCTTCCACAAGCATGGAAGTGGATAGGATTCCGCCCTTCTATTAAAGAGAAGAAAGTGCACCCCTCCAGTATGGGACTGAATCTGTGTGATTAAAAAGGTAGATCGCTGTAAGTTAGTACCACAGAGTCATCTTCGTACAACCTGCGCAAACAGTGTCGCTTGGGTAAGATTCCCTTGTGACTTAATGGCAGAAGTGAGATTCCAACTGGATTTCTAGTCTTCATCTACCACCATGTCCAAGGCTAGCAAGAGGTCCAGGGCTCTGTGTCTTCCTCCCAGTGTTACAAG